GGGTTTTTTTTTTTTTTTTTTTTTTGGAAGAAACTCTGACCCATCATATCTCATCAGATCATATATATATAAATCATTAGATACAACCGATTGGATTAAGATTATACTGACAGCTTATTTGTTTAATCTAAGAGTGAGGGGAGAGTTTAATTTTGATGGTTGGAATATCAATACATTCTTAATTCTTATCTTGCCTTGTTCTCATGGATTACTCCCCGAATAGATTGAATCTCACTCCTCTCTCCTAATCAGAAATACCAAACATAATCTAGTTTGCAACAGCTTAATTTCGAAAAGAAACAATTGCAATTCATATGTTTACTTTTGCTTTTCTTTCGCATTAAATGCAAGTCATTGCTTGGCATAGTAGTAGGGATTTTAAGCTTATTTTTTCTACCTGTTATAGCTCCTTGGTTAACAGCTAGTTCCATGGTCATTTATATTTCTTACCCTGCATAGTGATGATAATTAATGTTAATGTGCTTTCTGTAGCTGTGTTTTTGCATGCAAAATCAGGCGATGAGCCTCGTAGTATCAATATTCAAAAAAATCTTGTATTCAAATCTTCTTATACCACAAGGTTCCTTATAGTTTATGATTGAATTTGTTTCAAGAGGAAACTTTCCAACAATGATATGATTGTATTGTTTGTCCTAGTGGTTGCATCTAAATGTTAACTGTGGTCTGAAAATACTGTATTTTGCTGATACTTTACAGACTTTTTACAAAGTTGTTAGGAGCTGGGCTTCGAAGAAGTTTATGACTGGGTGGTGAGCACACTTATCATTCTATTGATCTGCTATACGCTCTTTGAGCTTGAGATAGAATAATGGCCATTTATTTAGCGATCCATCTGCACTAAATATATGCAGTTTTTTAATTTTTATTAATTTGGCAGGCGTTATCTTATTACCTTTTTGAAATAGTCTCGCTTTTCTCACTTTTTTTGAGTAATAAAGTAGGATACTAAACATGGACACCTATTCAAGTACATTGATACACTAATAAATAGGAAATTATTTACTAAGAAGCACAGATATTGATACGTAATTCGGATACAATACAATACGGATACGTCGATATGAATTTTTTGAAAAAATTAGGATACCCAATATGTTTTATAAAATTCAACATAATTTCCTTAATATAACAAAATTAACACATAAGTATGATAATAAAAATAAAATAAAATACTAAAGCACTTTATTAGCATGGGTTTTTAAATCATCATCTATTTTCAATGATAGAATTAATATAACACAATTTTATATGTATAATTTATTTAATACTAGTCAATTTCAATTTCCAATAATAAAAATATATTCGTAAACTATAACATGATTTCACATGTATTGAAATATTTATAATATTGTGCATTTCCAATAAAAAGTCTAGTTGTTAATTTTAAAACTCTAATTGTGTATTTTAAATAAATATTATTGATATTTAATAAGTTATTAAAATAATTTAAAAAATATTTATTGTATATGTATCGAAAATTATACAAAAATGTAAAATAACTAAAAAATACGTATTGGATACGTTTTGAAAATTTAAAAAATATAAAAATATATAAAATAATTTAAAAACAAGTATCTGGTACGTATCGGAAGGTATCTGAGGGTATTGGAGCTTGAATACGTATCGGATGCTACGTAACGAGTTTACAAGTATTGATGCTTCTTCGATTATTTATTGATATATGAAAGGAAAAAAACTCGGCAAACTTTGAGAATTATAAAAAAACAATTTCAATAAATTTGTAGACACACAAGTCTATGAGCCTATTCGGTAGTGATTATGAGAATTAATTTTTTAACTGTGAGAGAGAAAAGTGAGTTCAACCTTTGAGAGAAGAAGTAAAAAATGATGGCTGAAGATAGTGAAATAATGGTCAAAAAATTAATTTTTTTGGGTAAAAAATTGCTACTAAACGAGGGCTATAATAAGCTTTGGAGGTTGATATATTAGGAGATAAGACTTCTCAGGGTAAAACTGTATTGCGAAGATCCAGAGTGAACTTAAATAAGCTTTATCTTTACTATATTTTCCATTTTATCAATCTTTTTTTTTCAATATATAATTTTGGAGTATCCTTTTTAATTTTATGGGTTAGATATTTAACATAAAAGATAAAATAGTCGATTTTGATAGGGCAATTAGCACATAACATCCTTACCTTTTATTTTTTGGCATTTTCACTCTCATTTCCACATTTCAATTCGCAAAAGGTCATTTTCATCAATTCTCTCAATTAAAAGCTGTGAAACGACGAATATATCATTTTATTCAAATAAAATAAAAAGAAAAAGAAAGAACTAATTGCAATCATAGTCCTAGATTTTTTTAAAAAGTGCAAGCGAGTCCCAAATAAATTATTGAAAGAGTAATTAGTGCATAATGTCCATACCTTTCACTATTATTGTGAAAAAGTTCATACCTTTCATTTTTTTGACATTTTCACCCTTACTTACACCTTTAATTGCGTAAACCATCATTTCCATCTAATTTCTCAATAAAAGATGGGAAATAACAAATATACCCTCCTAATTATCCTTTTACTAATCTGTTTGGGACTCGTTTTGCACTTTACTATAGTTGCAATTAGTTCTTTCTTTTTCTTTTTGTTTTAAAAAAATAAAGGGTATATTTATCGTTTCACAACTTTTAATCGAGAAAATGGATGCAAATGACTTTTTGCGCAATAAGGGTGAAAATGTCAAAAATGAAAGGTAAAGATGTTTTCTACAATAATAGTGAATGGTAAAGACGTTATGTGCTAATTACCCAATTTTGATACATGAAATATCAAACAGGGATTCCCTTTTGAAGACTTCATTGGCAAATGTCGTAAAAATATATGGATTGACATGGTTATAATTTCAGATATGAGATATTTTAGTATGTACTGCGACAATTATTCTCAGACATTAGGCTTGGAGCTAAACTAGTCGTTTTTATCTGAAAGGAGATTATCACTCCACATTTAGCAATGGATCTAATGAGTTGGATACATTTTAAGTAGTTTGGCTCCTTCATCTTCATTAAATTAGCGCTTGCCACAGTGGTGTCAGCATTTATGCTGGCCATTAGAACATAATCCATTATCTATTCACGATACTAGAAAAAGTAAAGTGAACCATGATCTGTTGAAGACCAGTTTCCTATGAATGCCTTGCATGGCAATGATCCTTCAACATAAGTGTCCAAGGTCACATTTTCTAAATTGATATTGTTACACAGTTTTAGTTTTTCATAAGAAATTTGCCTGACAGATTGTATGTTAATGGATTTTTTATCAAGTTCTTTTAATTTATTTTCCTTGTAAATTTACTCTTGCAGCTCTATGTGCTCTTTACTGTTGTAGCTATTAATTACTGTGTCGTTTTGCAGTGTCATCCTCTTCCCAATAGCTATCACATTCTATATAACATGGTGGTTTATTCACTTTGTGGATGGCTTTTTCTCACCAATTTATGCTCAGCTTGGAATTGACATCTTTGGTAAGCTTTTGACACCTTCACCTAATGCCCAAAAGTACGAGTATGTCCTTAATTTTTGTTGTGTTATAATAGAATTTCTCAAGCTGGAGCATGTAGAATTACAAAGAAATTCAAGAAAAATGTTAGTTGTGTTACTTTTGAAACTGTCATAACTGTGAATTCTCCTTACAGTTTATTGATTGTCATGTCTGTTCTTTATGATAAAAGTTCTGTAAGCTAACACTTGCTCCTACTCCTTGATTTAGGTCTAGGATTTGTTACTTCTATTACATTTATTTTCTTGGTTGGAGTATTCATGTCATCATGGTTGGGGGCATCTGTTTTGAGCCTTGGGGAGTGGTTCATCAAGCGTATGCCATTTGTTCGTCATATTTACAGTGCCTCCAAGCAAATTAGTTCTGCAATATCTCCAGGTTTGCTTTTATTTATTTATTGATTTTGACTAATTTGGTTCTTCATTTCAATTTTCTCGTGCATGGGTGAATAGTTATTCACAATATTATTGCAGATCAGAACACTCAGGCTTTCAAGGAAGTGGCCATTATAAGGCATCCACGTATTGGTGAATATGCGTTTGGCTTCATCACTTCGTCTGTCACCCTCCAGGTTTGCCATCGCTTTCATGGCTGATGCCACCTTTTTCTAAGCTTAAAAAGAAGTGAACGTTAATTTTATGCTTCTTTTTCAAAGTCGCATATTT